AGGAACATGCTGAAGAGGAGGACGAGGTATTATCCGTATTCTTCTTTTCCTCCTCCTCCCTCAGTTGCGCGCCGTGGCAACGCAGGCAGCGCTTCGCAATGGTTGAGTGGTGTATGGAAGCCTCGTGACGCTTTCAATGTTCATCGAGCAGGAGGAACGGAGGAGGAGGAGGAGGAGGAGGAGGAGGAGGAGGAGGAGAAGTTAGCAGTGAGGAGGGGTGGGTGGAGAGTGGAGAGGAGACAGGAGGGAGGATGGAGAAGGACGGAGGAGTGAGAAGGAGGTGGGAGGCGAGAGGAGAGAGGAGGGAGGGAGGGAGGGAGCGAGTGAGGGAGACAGGGAGGGAAGGAGGGAGGGAGGGATGGAGGGAGGAGGAGGAGGAGGAGAAGGAGGAGGAGGTCCGAGCACCTAGCTTTTGGGTGTTTTTGGTTTTGGGGGCCTCTGGAGTCTTCCAGGAGCCTCGAGGGACCTCGGGAGGTTTCTCGGAATTTCAAGAAGTTTCTGGATGCATCCAGAAACCTTTGGCGTGTTCAGCGGAAGAGGACGAGGAGGACGAGGGAAGACGATGGGGGATGAAAAGGATACCTAGCGTCTGTTTCGAAGGGACAGTGTAAACCTTCTGGTCCCAGAGTCTAGGGAGCCGTGCCAGCGATGAGTAGCCATTCAAAACGTGAATCCACGTACGTTTCAAGTAGACTGAGCACGAGGACATGAGGACATACGCCGAGTAACATGTAGCGGCTCGCGCACGCTAAGCAACACACGACTTCCCTGGATGTAGTTTCCAAACTCGCCTTTTCAGACCTATCTTGTTGTTCTCGGAGGGTCTTTTCTTTTGTAGGGGAGGGTCTAGGGGGTGCCTCTCACATCCAGCTGCTGTGGACTATTCTGGAATTGTGCACCTCGCTGGAACGCAAGCCTGCACGCTCTGGAGCAAATGCTGCTGCATGCGGCGGTTGAATGCTGAGATCGACTTCAAGAGCAGGGTGCTGCCAGGTGGGATCGGCTTCGGAAGCAGGCTGCCGCCTCCTGCAGCGTAGGTCCGACAGCGCAGATCCGCGCGATTCGCACTGGCTGCGAGGTAGGATACTCTCGTTGCAGCCGCACGGTGCCGGTGGCAGTGGGAGCAGGATGAGGAGGAGGAGGAGGAGGAGGAGGAGGTCAGATGCAGGGCGGGGAGCTGGAACGGGAGGGGAGAGGACGATGCCAGTGGCGGGATGACGAGGGGAATGATGGGGAGAATAGCCAGAGGATCAAGAAGTCATGCTGATGACACGCTCCAGGGTTCTCAGGTCCTCCTGTTGCCCAGGGACGAAGGACCAACTGCGATTGGTCGAAGGCCGCCAGAAACTTTTGGAATTCCAAGGACGTGTCTTGAGCCAACCGTAGCATGCCAGTGTTCAAGTGGCTTGCGCCATTCCGCTGATCCTCCAGGCTTGGCCTCTTGGAGGGGGGCTTTTCGGGGTCTCTTGACACCTTGGATGCTTCTTGGGAGCCTCTTGCAGGCCTCTTGGGGCCTCTACGGGGAGCCTGGGGGCCTGACGGGGGGTTCTTGGAATCATCTTGGGGGGAACGGTTCGAGATGCCAATTTGTATTCCCCCTGTGAGTCAATCGTAGCATGACATCTTTCCCGTCATGAGTGTATTAGGAAAGAAAGGTCACCAAGGGCTTGGCGACCTTTTGCCACCCGACTCGTGCGGATCAAGCAGGGCAAATCACGGTACATGCGGATAAATGTTCGCCAGCGTAGGCCCCAAATAGTGTGTTTCTAGCAATATTTGTTGTGCAACCTACGTTGTGCAATGCATGTGCGCAATGTATATTTTGGAGAACCGGCGCTTTGTGCAATCAGTGGTTTGTGCAACCGGTGTGTTGTGCAACATATGTGGTACAATCCATCTGGTGCAATCTATGTTATGTTCAGTCTATGTGGCGTAGTTGATTTTTCCATAGGAGTTGACACATTCCTTGCTCTTGCAAGCATCCCACTCATTTACTCGCAATTTGGTTTGCAAATCCCATACGGCGGCGATTGCGATGAGTGCTTGGCGTTGGCCGGTGCATCTCTGCGGCCGCGCTAGCCCGCGCATGCTCGCGGTGGCGCTGACCGCTGGGCGCTTCCCAGCGGGCACTTCAGTGCGAGTCGGGGATTTGGGTGGGCGCGGTGTCATGGCGACGCCGACACTGGTAGGCACGATTCTGAGATCAGCGATGGCGACGAAGGTGGCGATGACGACGGCAAGGCCAATGACAGCGCCGATGTTGATCACGCCCTCCGATAACGATGACGGGGTCCTCGCGTCGGCGATGAAGCTTTTTGAAAGAGCTCGACATGCGCGCGGGGCCTACGCGCGCGATTGGCCCGCGTGGTATTATTTGACACGGATCGTGCCCCCTTCCAGCACGCGCGCAAAGGGCGTTCGAATGAGTTCGACATGCGGCTCGAGAGGCCCGTTTGGCAGAATTTGATGAATATACTGGAATCCCGATGGTTTCGTTCATCACCCGCATGAGCGCGAGCGCAGTTTTTGTTTTTGTTGTTGTTTGTTAAACACATGTTGCAGAACTGTTTTTTTGTTGGTTGTCGTCGGGGCACCAGATTTTGAAATCCGTGCGAAGTTTTTTCGCAGGATTTCGGCACGCGCGCGACGACGCGCGCGTGTGCACTTCGTCCCATTTAGTGCAAAGGTTTTTGCGACAACACAGGCGCAAGGAAGTTCGAACGATTTCGACACGCGCGCGCGAGTGACCAACCTGGAAACGTTTTATGATCATGTTGAGAATTTATGGTTCTGTCGAGAATTCACAACAGTGTGGGGTCAAACGTTTTGAACAATTTGTGTTGCAAAGCCATGTGTGTTTTAGATGTGCCCGGGACATTCGGCCGTGGAGATCTTTACGAAACCGAGAGTTGTTGTTTTCATGGATTTCGGCATGCGCGCGCGACGACGCGCGCGCGTGCATGTCGTCTCATATCAATTTTTGGAAAACGGGTGATTGACAACTGATGGTTTGTGCTAAACGAGACCATCGCATTTTTTGCAGAGGATGGTGGGGGGTGTCGGTACCGGCCTGGCTGGGATGGTACGGATCCATATTCAGGATGGTACGGTTCTCACCCAGCGGGCACGTCAGTGCGAGTCGGCGATTTGGGCGGGGGCGGTATCTTGGCATCGTCGGCGACGGTAAATACGAGGATGGTCGTGGCGATGATGGTGGCGATGTTGACGACGACGACGACGGCAAGGCCAGCGACGGGGCCGATATTGATCACGCCGACGACAATGACGGCGCCCTGGCGCTGGTGATGTAGGTTTTGGATGGAGTTCGACATGCGCCTGCGGCCGACGCGCGCGCGTGGCCCGCGTGGACGAATCTGACATGGATCGTGCCCCCCCTCCCCCCCAGCACGCGCGCAAGGGCGTTCGAATGATTGCGACATGCAGTGCGGAAGGCCTGTTGTGCAGGACTTGATGGAACTGTTGAAAGGCAATGGTTTTCGTGAAACGCTCGTAGGAATGCGGGCGCTGCCACTCTTGAGCATTGATGTTGCAAAACCTATTGTCATCATGTTTTCTTCGGGGCACTCGATCATGGTGCCCTCGTGCGAAGCCGGATGTGTTTGAACGATCCCCGCATGCCCGCGCGACGACGTGCGCGCGCGCACTCCGCCCCATTTTTTGTTAAGCGGGTTCTTGCGAGGGCGCGCGCGCGAACGCGTTCTGGCGCTTCCAGCGTGTGCGCGCGAAATGCACGTTTGGTAACCGTTGATGAACATTTTACAAACCCGATGGGTTATTTGAGAACCAGCGAAAGCGCGACCGCAGACGTTTTTGGAGCTCTTGTTGCGACGCCATGTGTTTTCAGATACTTCAGGGCCGCTCGATTTTGACATCTATACGCCACCCACGTTTTTTTGTTGGCAGGATTTCGGCATCTGCGCGCGACGACGCGCGCGTGCACTTGATCCCATTTGTGCGCAGCGGTTTTTCTTGACACACGGGTGCGCGCGCAAAGGTTTTTTCCAGAGGATTACTTGTTGGGCTGTGATCATATGATTTTTCGGGATGGACGATGACCACATGTAAATTGCAATGCGCCAAAGAAGGCCGTTAAGTCCAGAGGGGGAAGTACATCCTATTACTATGAAGATGGAGAAGCGATGTGGTGCATCCCATGTGGTGCAACACGTGGGGTGTAATCGACGCGGCACAATGTATGGTGTGTAATCGATGTGGTGCAGCCTATGCGCTGCAATCTATGTTGTGCAAGTCGCCAATGTCCGCAGTGAGTTGTCAGCTCCATTTCTCTCGCAATCATCCCGCCCGCCCACCCGCAACTTGGTCGGCCAAAACTATTCGACGGCGATTGCGATGAGTGCCTGGCGTTGGCTGGTGCATCTCTGCGGCCGCGCTTACACGCGCATGCTCGCGCTCGCAGCGGCCAGCTAGTTCGGCGCGACCGGCGCGGCCGCGGTGGCGCTGACCGCTGGGCGCTTCCCAGCGGGCATTTCAGTGCGAATCGGTGGTTGGGCGGGCGCGGTATCATGGCGACGCCGATAACAGTTGCCCCTGTTGATTTCGAGCGAGCAGCGCGGCTTCCTTCAGGGGAGGTCCAGGGTCGCCAACGTCATCGACGTGGAGGAGGCCAAGTGCGTCGACGCGCTCCTCCCCATGGATTCCGTCGCTTTTTTTCTCATGGACTTCGAGGCGGCGTCCCCTTCCGTGGAACACGGTTTCCTGCTCGAATTGTTCACGGCGGCTGGTTGGCCAGAGTGGTTATTACGTTATCTCCGCGCTTTGTATGACAGCAACACCTGCATGATCGCCTTCGGCGGCGCGTTCTTTGAAGGCTTCGTGGCCACGCGGGGAGTCCGGCAGGGTTGCCCTCTTTCTCCATTGCTGTTGTTTGCGGCGTCGGACTTGTTGCTAGAACGCGCCAGGTGCCTCTATTACTCTATTCGTCGCGCGGAATTGCGGGGACGGCGCGGCAGTGATTCTCCATGAAGGGCGTCGCTCTGTATGCGCGTTGGCTGCCATGTTCGCGGATTTCGCCGGAATTTCTGGCCTTGGCCTTCATGTCGAAAACAGTGGCTATCCATCTCTTTGATGTGGATCTGTTGGCTTTGCGTTCCAGCATCGCTCAGGTTGTCCCTTGGTGGGGTCAGATTGGCATCAAGTTTCACGCTCGTGATCTTGGTTTCGAGGTGGGCCCCGGCCGTGAAGAGTTCTCCTGGCGCACTCCATTCAGGAAGTTCTGCGAGCGCGTGGACATCTGGAAGGCGATCGGCGCGGGGCACCGCCTGGCGGTGGCGGCGTACAGGGTGTACATCATCACCGTGCGCCTGTTTGTGGCCCAGTTGGAGCGGGTCCCCGCGGGCGTATTGCAGCAGTAGTCGAGCGCACTCCTCTGGCTAGTGCCCGGGCCGTCGGATTTGGATCACGGCAGGCGTATTGCAGTCGTTCGCAAACCTTGGTATGAGCTTTGAGTTCGTCTCCCTGGCCTCGTGTACTACCGCTGCCGCGGCCAGGACTTCCATGTGCGAGGACCGCCTCAATGGCGGGCTCAGGGCGCGGGAACGATCCCAGCAGCTGCTCGGGCGACTGCACTGTTCTGGTGATGTGTCAGCCTTTGTACGGCCGCATGCGTAAAGAGTTCCGCGCTTTGCAGGCTCGTCGAGGCGGCGGACGCACTCGCGGCAGCCGAGCGCTCGAAGAACTCCTCGATCTCCTTGTTGGATGCCGACCCGTTGGATGAGGACGCGAGGCAAACCTGGCAGCGACGGGCCGTGGTGATATTGCGCCATCGTGCATCCGCGGCACTACCACACGCCCGCGAGCGCCGTGAGGCTCTTCCTCCTGGGCGGTGCCCTGCAAGATGGGTCGCCGTCGGCCGAGCGCTCGCCGCTAGATGCGCGCCGCGGGTAATTGCGGCCTTCATCAGGACGGCCTTCCACGGCTGGTGCACAGCACGCCGCTTCCAGCAGCGCGCTGTATGTTTGCTTGGGTGCCAGCGCGGCGAGGACAGCATCGAGCATGACTGCCGCTGTGCGACGTATCGCCGTTTCTGCATTCGCCATGCTGGGTTGGCCGTCCCAGGAGTCGAGGACAAACTGGCGTGCTTCCTGAACCTCGGGAGTTCGACCCTGAGCAGGAGTGGTGGCGCCGGTTCATCTGAGCGGGCCATGTTGTTGCGAGCTCTCACCATGTATGTTGTGTATCGCGTGCAAGCCGCGGTCTGCGCAGGGACGCAGCGGGTTGCCGATGCCGCGGATGCTCTCCCTGCCATGCTGCGCGAGGGCGCTCGCGGGCATGATGCCTTAGAGGCGCTACTCCGCGCGGAACGCTGCCGGCAGCGCGGGCAATAATCAGGTGTGTTGTTTCCTCCCCCTCCTCTCTTCTCTTCCCTTTGCGCCGTCAACCGCAATGTACAGTTATGATATGGCTTCGCGCCTTCCCGCCATCAGTTGCGGAGTTCGGCCCCTTCGGTCGTGGTCATTCATGGCGAACCGCTCTTCAATTTTGTTGTGTATTCCTTGCTCTCCCTCTTCTGCCTCGCCTCCTGTCTCTTCCTTTCTGTCTCTTCTTTATTTTTCTTTCTTCGCAGTTCTTTGGATCACCTCGGGCATGCACATTTCCTTTTGATGGGTTCTGCGGCATGCAAGCAACACTTGTCGCATTGGTTTTCGCTCGTAACAGAGACCGTGACCGGCCGGCGTATATGCTGTAGGGTAATCCACAACTGATTTTGTCGTTGAATGTTGGCTCTGTTTGTGCAGTCTTAGGTTCATTTGTTGTTTAGCCTCCGCTACAGACAGCTGATCAGGGTATTCAAATTTCAATACCCAGTGGGCCTTGCTTTTCTGAGAAAGCCCGCTCTTAAGTAACACCTGGCAGTTGGAAGGAGAACGAAGAAACAAAACAATAGACACGATGATGGGGGGCAACGATGATGGTGACGATGGTGGCGATGACGACGGCAATGTCAATGACTGTGCCGGTGTTGATTATGCCCGCCGATAACGATGACGATGTCCTCGCGTCGGTGATGAAAGTGTTGGAAGGAGTCCGACATGTGCGCACGGCCGACGCCCGCGAGTGGCCCGTGCGGTATTATTGTAATGGCCTCCGGCCAGTGCCGCCGATCCAGGGCGCTCCCGATGCGTGTGGGGACGGACGATGACGACGACGACGACCGACGACCGGGTCAACGACGGACGATGATGACGACGACGTCCCTCCTCCCCCCGCTGCCCTCCCTGGTTTCTTGGACCCCCCCCTGCTTGAGATCGACCCCCCCCTCCGTCCCCGCTCGAGCTTCCTCCTTGTACCTTGTACCTTGTACCCCCCCCCCGCTTGTGCTTGACCCCCTCGCCCCGTCCTCGCTCGAGCTCCCCCCCCCCCCTCGATACTTGGACCCCACCCCCCGCACTGACCCCCCCCCCGCTTGAGCTCGACCTCCCCCCCCGTTCGACCCTCCTCCCCGTCCTCGCTCGAGCTCCCCCCCCCCTCGATTCTTGGACCCCCCCCGCGCTGACCGCTGACCCCCCCTCCCCGCTTGAGCTCGACCCCCCCCCTCCGTCCCCGTTCGAGCTTCCTCCTTCGACCCCCCCCCCCCGCTTGAGCTCGACCCCCCCCCCCTCCAGGTCGACCCCCTCCTCCGTTCGACCCCCCCCCGGCCTCGCTCGAGCTCCCCCCCTTCGATTCTTGGACCCCCTCCCCCGCGCTGACCCCCCCCCCCCGCTTGAGCTTGATCCCCCCCCTTTCCTCCTTCGACCCCCCCCCCCCGCTTGAGCTCGACTTCCCCCCGTCCTCGCTCGAGTTCCCCCCCCCTCGATTCTTGGACCCCCCCCGCGCTGGAGCGTTCGCTGAATTGCGTGGATAATTCGCCGGATCCCGACCCCCCCCCCAGAGCGAAGCTTGAGCGAGCTCAAGCCCACGCTCTCAGAAACTCACACGCCGGATCGGCGGATTTGACGCGGATCGTGCCCCCACCCTGGCAGGCGCGCAAGGGCGTTCGGATAAGTTCGACATGCGGCGCGAGAGGCCCGTTTCGCAGAATTTGATGGCAATGTTGAAAAAAACAATGGCTATCTTAAGCACTCGCAGGGGCGCGGGCGCAGGCATTTTGAATTTCGGTGTTGCCAAACCATATGATGTTATATTTTTCGGAGCACTCGATTTTGACAGCCCTACGACACCTCATGTTTTTGAACGATGTCCGCACGAGCGCGCGACGACGCGCGCGCACTTCGTCCCATCCTTTTGCACGAGGCTCTTGCGGCAGAGCGCCCGCGCAACAAGTGCGTTCGAACGATTTCGACGTGCGCGCGCGAACGGCCCGCCTGGCAGCATGTTATGATAGTGTCGAACGAAAGTGTTTTTTTATATGAAAAAATCTGGAAGAGCGCGAGCTCCAGTTTTTGTTTGAACATTATCGTTGTGAATCCGAGTAAAGCAATGTTTTCCGGACATTCGATTTTCGCCCCGACGTCGCCGATGCATCCGTAATGCATCGACGATGCGGTGCGGTCCTCCGACCGCATGTATTCAGACCCCATCCGGGAGGCGTTAGCAACATTAAATGCCACAGTGGCATTGAGGCTGACTTTGAGGACGAAGTAACAACTCATAATCATATACTGTCCGAGCTCCGCGCGGCTTTCTTGGATCGGCACTGCTCCGCGCGCCATGAAAAGGGGGCTCTAGAAGGCCGCTCCAAGAAATCAACGCGGACCTTTCGAAAGGTCATGCTTATGTGGTACTATTTTCTTCCATTGATCGCCCTCCATTATTTTTAGCTGCCACATTTTCAAACAACGGATGAGCGGCGCCACGTGGACATCAACGAAAAAGAGTCGCGGCGTAACCGTACAGCTGCTCCAGAGTGCAACCTACAGAACCCTACGGTCTGAGGAACTATAGTCCGATTTCGGGAAGGATCCGCCCTCCATCCCTGCAGATATGTTTGAACTTGCTAAAACAACATATTTGATTGAATGCTCCTTAGGAGGCAGACGCCGCTGCCCCACGTTTTTTGAACGTGGTCGCTTTGATGAACAAGTGGCGAGGTTTGAAAAGCAGGGGGACAGGGAAGAGTAGGGCGATGAGGGGAGGAGGATGGGAGCCGTGAGGGACCCGATGGGGTTGCTAGGGCTCCGAGAAAGGTGGTCTACACCTCGAGTGAGGAGTTCGGAGGGCTGAACAAGGTCAATTTCCACGACCGTGCGGCGGGGATCTCACACGCCGTTCGCTAGAGAGGTGGCGGATCGCTTCGCTCATTCCGCTGGTCCATGTTGCATGACTGTGGGCACTTGGCATCTGCCTGCAGGCTCGTGGGAGCTCGGAGGGTGCTGGGTCGCAGCAGTGCTCCCTCTTGGGACCTTTGTGGGGCCATCCTGTGGCGATCTGAGCTCACAGGACCCAGAGATCCGATGCCATGATGTTTCCAATACGGGGTCTCCCCGGCAGTCGACCCATTCCCCGGGACCGGTTTTTCATCCCGAGTCGTTTTTTGACGGTGCCGGGGCCTGGCGAGAGCCCCCAGAGGCCGAAACCTTAGAGAACTCTCCGTCATGATGTTTGCAGGACCTTGGAGCTCTGGGGATGCGGACGGGCGAGGAAGCCAAGATCACGGAAGCAGTTTGGTTCTTGAGGGAGGCGGCCTCCTGGAGGCGTCTTTGGGGCTGTCTTGGACCACCTCGGACCGCCCAGGGGGGGTCGTGTCGGTGCTATCTTCGGGCCCCACTTGAATCCTGAAAGCCATCCTGCCATCTTGAGACCAGATGATCCCACAGGCAGCGTGACGGCGAAAGCCACAATCATTGGAATACCTGAGGCGTTTTACGCTTTTCGGCCTCCCGGAAGCTTCTAGGGGGTTGATTTGGGCCTGTGCCGCCTCGGGGTTACCCTGGGGACCTCTTGGGTCTGTCTCTGGCCTCTACTGAGGCGCTCCTGTGGATCTGCGAAGCCCTCTTGGAGCCTCTCCACGCCCCACTTGGAGCCATCTGAGGCAGTCTTGGTTTCATCTTGAGGCCTCAGAGCTCCATAAGAAGCGAAAAGGCAAGAATTCCCAAACCATTGAGGTACCTCCGATTTTCGAATGATTCTAGCCTTCTGGAGGCTTCTTGGGGGCTCCTTGGACCATCCTTGTCCACCTCGGAGACATTACAAGGGGTTTTTAGGCTGTCTTGGAGGCATCTTGGGGCGGGCTACCCATGGATCCGTTCTCCTGGGTCGCCATTGGGCTTTCCTGCAGGTCCTTTGGGACGGTCCTCGGCCTGTGGTGAGGGTCCCGACGGCCGCGCCCCTGAGTAAAACCGTCTGACCGAGTTGCCCCGGGGTTTCCCGGGGGTGTCCCGAGACCTCCCCGGGACCCCACCAGGACCTCTGGGTC